AGTCAATAACAAACGAGATAATTCAATAATTATACTTTGTCACTATTTTCCCCCTTAACTTGAAAAATATCTATCGCACGATAAAATTTGTAATAAAAGAAGTTGTAGGAAATCGCATTTGCAACAACTTAAGTCCATACCATTTTTGTTGTAAAGTTGAAAATGGCCGAGATGTTGAGCAAAAACGAATTTTTCCTTAAATTCAAGATGGCGGCTGACGCAGGGGTGGAATTCAGTCGCGATTCTGAATTTACACTACTATTGACTCCCCCCTAAATGTTAGAACAATAAAATTGTGGTCCCTAATTTTTTCCCGGTTAAGCCCTTTTTTTATCTAACTCGACTGGAGTATAATGAGTTTCCAAATAGTCGCTGTTATAAACTTAAAAGTCTACTTACTGCGCTCTCATCATGGGAATGTTTATGCAGTTAGCTGCAGCTACAGCTGCGAAAGGCACCAATCGTCCAATAACTGGCGGCATTGTCTAAAATAATGAAAATACCACTTAGTTTTACCGAAACGAAAGAACTTTGGTCGAAATGACAACCTCTTGAGAGATTTGAAGAAGTAATTTCTGTGTAATGAATAGATTCCAAAACTACTGCAGGAACAGGATTTTGATGAAGAATTATTTTCAACGATAATTTTTTGGAAACAGTGAAGCAATTTAAAAAGCCTATTCTACTATAAATTTTCACATTTTTACTCTGTTGTAAAGGTATAGTTTCATTCATTTCATTTCAAATTAAACAAATTAAAATTTTTTTCCTAAAAAATCAAATGATATCAAACATTGTTCTTCGTATTTTATGGGCTTCAACTAGCATTGAATTATACCAGCAATACTGCAAGCAAGTTGAAAATGTTGACTAAGTAATCTAAAATTATGCAGAGAACAGCAAATTTCGGACATATTGCAAAAGAAATAGCGAAAAGATTTTCTTATTTCAATTCTTACCTTTACTAAGCTGTTCAGATAAAGGGCTGTACCAACAGCACCACCAGTGGCACACACGTAGGACGTAAATAGCTGCCTATAAATGCAAGAAAGTATATTGTAATCAAAGTTTAAAAATTACTTTTTTCGCATTTTGACTGATAACAAGCTATTTTCGTAAATTCAAAATCGTTTACTAAAGTGGCACTTTACCACACTGAAATTTACCATCTAGTAATGTCACTGTTTAACAGAAAGTAGTTCATTTAAATATTCGAAACATAATTATATATATTAAAAGTACAATTATTCAAATTTGAAAAGTTAACAACACGAAATTTATTCTATTCTAATTGTTCTTCCTTAAACTATTATGATTCTCTATCTGCATTCTGAGGTGCTACTAGTTCTTGCTGTAGAAACATATTTTCGAAATTTTCAACTTATTGATGCATTCCTCTATATACCCTTCAGCCACACTAATTGGCTGCCATCCTCCATGTCTTTTAAGTGTTTGAATATCAGCTCCACTGTCAGCGAGGAAGGAAGACGATAAAAATTATTTGTGTATTATACAATTATACTTTATTATCAAAAATTTAATATTTACCACTCTTAAATTCTTCGTTTTCGAGATTATTAGGTTTTAAGGGCTCAAAGAAGATTACATGCAAAATGCAAATTAAAAAACGTTATATCTCTGTTAATTTTTGCTCTACAGAAAAATTGAAAGTGAGCAAAAATATTATAAAAAAGACCTTTAATTTTGAACTCTTGCATTTTTCATATATCGTGTTTTAGTTTTTGAGTTATTTCGAAAAAAGAGATTTAAAAAAAAAAAATTAAAAAACATTTTTTCATTATTACAAACTTTTTTAAATTTAGGCATTCTAAACCGATCAAACTTGCAGAGCCTATTATTACTACCTAAATAAAGTCAACTGTATATGGATTACGCTTAGTTTCTATTTTTATGGTTCAACCATAGATTTTTTTGTTGATTGTTTCTTCGAAAAAATGAGATGACAATTTTATTTTCATCATAACTCCGCGAGTTTTTGAGCTAGGAAATTTTTTCAAAAAGCATTTTAAAGGTCTTTCCAAGCACTTTAAAAAAGGTTATATTTATATTCTTCGAAAAATTAGTTCTTTCGCCATTATTTTACGGTAAAAGGTTCGATTTTACTTTCCAAAAAATAAACAATCACCTTTAGAGAGTGATAACTCGGTTATTATTACATCTACCGGAATCAATAAAAAATGAATCTATTCGTTATTTCAAAATCTTTATTTTTGCTGAATATGAGTTTTTTGATAAAACGCAAGGTTTTCGAGTTATTTATCAAAAATGGTTGAAAAACATGCACTTTTTAGATGAAAAATCAACCTTTTCAATCGGAAATAACTCGGAAAATATTAATTTTTGGAAAAAACGTTATAGAGCATTTTTTGCTTAGAATTCATCCCTCTATTGATTTTTGCGATTAAAATGGGTGTCTTCATTGCCACCCCCGAGAAGGGGTGGCATTCACCCCCAGGGCATTATGTCACTATTGTTTCTTGAGCAATTTTCTACTTACTGTTCAATTTTACACGTCAATCGGTGCATGTGTCAAGAATTCGCACCTAAAAACCGTCATATACTGAGCTAAACACAAAATGCGAAAAAATAGTATAAACAAATCTCGTAAGAAAAGCAGCCTTACAGCTTTTGAGTACAAGCGAGCGCAGCGAGAAAACTTTGCTTTTGTAAACTTGTTGTTTAATATTATTACCACATTCATTTTTTTTACTTACTTATTTGTCTGCTGTACGTCGCCACTTCTGTTGGTGTAATTGACCAGAGCATTGAAGGACTGGTTAAGCCACTGCCAAAACACGACGGCAGGGGTGCTCTTGTAGAAGGTGATCATTCCTCCGGTGATCATGACGTTCATAGGTACTTGCGCTGACATCCTGCCGATCAAGACCATTTTCTCCCCTGTGTCGGGGTGAAAAGCAGAATCGTACAGCATTTTGGCCCTCCATAGTTCGTTCACCGTCGTGTCATCGGGAATTGGTTCGTTGCATCTAGGCAAAACGGTTATTAAATTGTTGCAGGTGTTGTATGTCTCATACAACGCACAGAGACAATCTATTTAAATTTATAAACATTTAGAAGGGTCTTTACTGTAGCGGCAAGTAAAAATGAAAGTAGCAATACTTTGATAATAAAAAGCGGGGAAGATTTCTAGGCCCACGTGATTGAGCCACACTAAGCGAAAATTAAAAAAAAAAAGAAAGAACAGGTACATTATTATCAATAAAGTATTTCCTCCATATTCAAAATAAATTGCATATGTATATGGAGTGTATTGATTCTCTTGTTTATTAATAGTTACGGCAATGAAAAAATTATGTGTGAGATGTGAGCAAATGTATATTTATTGCCAATTTAAAACTGCATACATAAATAGGTCATACTATTGAACTTGGCATCGTTGATTACAATGATGTCATATGACATCACAATAAATATGCGTTATTCACATTCGTAACAGTATGTTATATTTATATTTAATAGTAATGAAAATGAAAGTTTACGGTTTTAGAAAGATCTAAACGGGGTGAGTTGGGAGAATTGCACCAGAAAGGATTCTGTTTAAATTTCTGTGAGGTCTAGCAAGAGAAAAAAGTTATGAACAAACAAATTTTGAGTTCTAGGTAAAGTGCCCTGTAGCGGCGCATAATGAAACTTTTCTGAGTGGTCCAATAGAACTTCATGTACTTAGGGGGTGTGCCAAATGAGAGACTAATCGAACTTGAATTAAATAAGTTATTTGAAAAGATAAATAAAAGCAATTGAACTTTGACAAGCTGTGACTTGCAAACAATTAACAATTCGAAAAAAAATTCTTTACATACTGGTATTATTTTAATCCGTAGAATCACCTCCCGGAGCTTTCTGATAGACTTTTAGAACACCCTGTATAGCAAATCGATCCATTTGACATTTCACTTTCACTGTTGTCATAGTAGATAAGGGTACACAATTTTTTTAAAAGTTCCATACATTCAGAAAAAGTTATTGTTAATGAACAGCTGATGACTTTGAGCATCAAGGACAGTTTAGATATTGATCCTCATGGTTATACAAATATATTCTTCAAAATGTAAATGTTTGCCAATTTCTAGTAATGCGCTGGATATTTCTTTATTATACCACATTTATGTGGGTGGTTATTGGCCCAATGACCCTATATAGCAACCAACTAGTTTTACAGAATTTTGAGACATTTGATGCGCAATATTATTCATGTCCGCACAAACGATCAGGATACGTCCAAATTAAATTTAATTTGGGAACATTACATAATTTAAGATATAAATTATTACGGATACAATATGTGCGTAACCTTTAACCCTAAATGAGTGTACCAATGTTTGGAAATGAGATTTCTAACACGTGTACTATCACGCCCAGATAAGTGAAATATTTCGACGCATAAATATTTTTTTCTATATAAATTACATCCTTGTGGCTAAATACATATTAGAAGTTATCTATTATGTAGAAAGCGAAATCTATATTTTATTCAATGTGTAAATTTAAGGCAGAATAATAATAATTTTCTTTTAATTAATATTTTCAAAAACAAATTTTTGTTGAATATACAGAAAAGACTTTTGACTCGGATTTGAAAAGAACTGTGTTTTTAAACTTGTGGAAACGGTTTTTGGGCCAGAGAACCCCAAAAGGAAGAATCGAATATAGTTCAATATTTTCAAAAACAGCACAAGGCGGATAAAAAAATTGATAGACAGCAAATGGATAACAAAAAGTATTTGTCCAGTTACAATGTTAAAATTACTCTTACAAAGGAGAAACGAAAATATAACAGCTGATCGGCTTTTTTAACTCCAAATCCCTTTTGGACAAACACAAATTCTAGAGGTTGGTATAAAAATGTTCCATTAGGAATTAATATTATATCTACAGAAGAATCTGCAGCTAAAATTGAACTGGACATACATTTAAATATTACAGCAAATTTCTTCTATTTCCTTTTGAAAAATACTTAATAAATGAAAACCCAAGTGATTTCCCCAGCAAAGTCGCGAACTATTTTTTTTAAACAATAAAATCTGCAAAAGAATGACTTTTTTTTGTTTTTTTTTTATAATATTTTGAAAAATAATGATGGAATCGTCTTACTCTCATTAGGACTTTTGTAGAGAATAAAAAAACCTATAAAATAGTTTTTTGTGCGATCCGATCGGTTCATTTTTTACAGAGATAGTCCGGAAAAACCTCTAAAATAGACCTTTTTTCAAAAATTCATAACTCCGTCAAATTTGAAGCTGAAAAACAATCTTGCGGAAAATGACAGATAATAATATGTAGTTTAATCGTGCGCAAGATGGTTTCTGTCCGATGCATACTTTTTGCACAATTGCATAGGGTATTTTTTAGCACAGCGTGGCGATCTATTAAAAATGGTCCAATTTAAATTCTGAAAACGGCATCTGAAATGATAAAATCTCCAATTATTTGTACATCTCGGATTTTCACCTGAGCGATGGGAAATATGGTAAAAATGCCCTTGAAGCGGTAGTGGGGGAAGCAGCGAGCGGAGAACTCTGGCTCGAGCGTACTTTCGTTTGTTTCGGGCGACTTTCAACAAAAAATTGTCTTGGCTCCAGAAGGTCGTAGAGCAACGTTTTTTTTAATAAAAAATTCGCGTAAAAATGCCAGCAATCGATTCATGTAATATATATTATCGAGAAATGAAAATCGAAAAAGATATTAAAAAAAAACGCGAGCAAAAATTTTTTACTTTTTTCAAAATCGTCTTTGGACACTCGAATGAATAAAATCGTTATCACCCTTTTTACCATGACAGTACAACTATTAACGGAAAAAATGAGCCACGATTCGTTTCTCCACGACTATTCGTCGAGCAAGAAGGGCCGATTTTCGAGATTACCTTTTTTTCGAAAAATTTTTAAAAAAGGTACTTTTTTGCTTGCCGAGGGCTACATTTACACCAAGTAACAAGTCTCAAAACCTTATTTTGCAAGAGATACAGCAAAAACAAAAAATGTCGATTTTTGACGTTTTTTTCGATATATCTCGAAAAGTAATACAGCAATCGATAGGTTTTTTAAATAGCTACAACTTTCTCATTTAACATTTTTCGATTGGCGTTCAAGGTTTTTTTTATTAGCGAAAAACTGTTTTTGACTTTTATGAATTTTTTAGGTTAACTTCTATTGGTTGGCCTACTAGTAAAACCGTGCCAGTAGTTTCTCACTTAGCCAAAGCAGGGATAAGTGACCAACAACGGATAAAGATAACCGCATACTCATCGTCATCATCCATTAAACCGTACCTTCAAATTGACGCTAAACATCACGAAACTCTTATTAGTAACTTACGAATCTCGCATAGAATAAGTCAAAAGGAATATTTAACATACTAGACAAGAAAATATTGAAATCAGTACACCAAACCGCAATTTATAATAACTGTGTATTTAACAACTGTTCCTTCAAATAATTTGAACAAATAACGATAATGTTTGGTATTCGTTCACACAGAATAAATAAAGATATTTATTTTTGTTGTTCATTCTCGTATTTGATCGTTAATTTATCTTGCCAAAAACCACACGAGCTGTTCATTTCATAGATACATTTCTTTTTAACTTAAAATTTTGTCAATCAGTGATTTTACTAAAACTGGCATTTGACAAAATCGCTCGACTTTCGGTCTCGCGATTTTTTCATGTGTTTTTTTAGTAAAATTACTGATTGGCAAAATTATTTCGTTACAAAGAGAAATTTATCGGACAAAAAGAAAAGCTCTTGTGATTTTACAGTTGACAAAAATTCATAAAATTCTTCATAACTAAATAAGGAAAAGGAACAAAATACCAGTTTTTTATTTTAATTTTAAAAAACAATAATCGAGGTATATTTTAACTTGAGCTTTAACCAAATTTTCACATAAAAGTTCAATAAAAAAGTGGGTTCTGAAAAAGGCGTTATTTTATAAATTCCCTTAAAAGATCAGTCATCTGGGCACCTTCTGAATGCGCTGATTGCAGAGCGACATGCTTTTGATGTTCCTGAATATATTTAAAATATGTATTTTCTTCTAAAAGCGGAGATAGTCTGATGATTTGTTTATTAAAATAATGTTACTTCTGTTATAAATATGATAACATTTACAACAGAATTGTAATAAAACTTCAATTTTTCCTAATTGTCCATATTTTCCTTATTTTCTCCGCATAATATTAGACCCCTGGCAGAGACCCTTCAAAATAGGCCTCTTGGTGTCGCGCATTTAGTTATTTTTTAAGCACTTTATCACCACCTTTAACTTAATCGTAAATATGATAAATCACCTGTATTTGGTAACTAGACATCTTGCTTCCTCTAATCTCCTGCTCGATACCAACAGATTTAAGGGATTTGTGGTAAGAAAAAAATGTTTGGCTCTGCCTACGTAAGTCTCCTGGTCATATCGTGGTTCGTCTATGTTTATCCTCTTTTTCAAATCTCGAACGTATACAGCTGCCTTGTCAGACTCTTCAGAACACATTATTACCTAAAAGGAACACATAATTTCATTTAAAAAATAGTTTCGCGCGATCCTGGCCTCAGATAAAAATTAATAAGTTGGTCCTTGACTTACCTAGGTGTAAAATGTTATCACAAGTATGATATGTTATCTCGCGTGTCTAAATCGCGGTTTACGCACTGGAATTTTGGGATTTCGGGGCCATGTCTTTAAAATGAGATGAAGGAGTTCTGCAGTGAACACGAAAATTTTGATGTACTGGTATTTGTCAGCGTGACAGTTCGGTCCCGGCTTTATTAGACAGTAAGGAGGAACTTTCCCCAAACGAAGTTCGTGTTGTGGCGAGAGCGTGTCGCTCTGTAAAATCGATGATCGGAACATTTTGGCCTGCCGTTGGTTGAGTCGGACGGCGCCGACGCAAGTTTATCGACGATGTTTTCGGAGTTTTAAAATCGTTTTGTTTACTGTGAATAATTAATTCCAGTCTCCATAATCTCTTAAAAAACCAGTGGCAGTCTAGTTCGTTTCTTTGAACTTCTAAAACAAAAATTTTCCCACAAAACATAAGTTGTCACCACAACAGTTATTTAGAACATACTCTACAGTGTGTTATAAATTATGAAGGTTTTTCCTCTAACGTATTGTAAGCTTTATCGTTTTAGATCACTTCCTGTGAACTAGTGTTTAAATAAAATTTCGCGAAATCTTTAGTGCCAAAAGACGAACAGCATTGCTTTTTAGAATTTCTGGCCTTTTTTGTCGTTATTTGCATATAATAACTAATCTACGCATTGTTCTAATGTATGTAAATTTTTCATCCTTTGTATTAAGGAATAAATATGTATTATAAACAAGGATATTATCTATATGGATGCATCGAACAAAAGTAACACTATTTTCCCGTAGTTTACCACGAAAGGATACCTATGAAATATTTCTATAATAATTATTGCCCTTTTAAAACGACATTATCTATAACTACTACCACTTTAAACAGTATCACGTATTATTACCTTATTCAATTATTGATTATTTATACATGATTACCATTTTAAATTGCCAGTTATGATGTATTATGAGTTATGAGGTATATGCAAATAATTGTCGATGTAAGTGGCTTATAGGTAAGGTATAGACATGTAACTCATAGGAATATATTAAGTTTCTGTGGTATAACCAACTATCTATTTCACTACATCATATAACAGACACAACTTTGTAATAGTTTAATATTTTAATTTTGGTCATTTGAAATGAAGATTCCTACTTTTGCAAAAACGTGCGGACTAGTTAAAAATCATCATTAAAAATAAGATGGAAAAGGTAAGAAACATGATATATTGTAAAAACTTTGCATATTGATTGTTGTATGTATATGCTATCATTACAGCATAATATAAATCAGTACGCTCGTTGTTCATGAACTCACTTTGAGCAGTATTTTAATTACTGTTACATTATCTGTATTAAAGAAGTAGTTTTCAATTTTATTTGGAACAAATTAAGTAGTCAGTAGGTACACCTAGTTTTCATCATGTTTCAAACAAATAATTATTCAAAGAAATTTAAAAATTCCATCTTCCCAAACCTGCAGAACAAAGAACAATCTGCTCCTTTTTAATATTCTCACAATTCATTACTTCATTTAAAATCTATTAATAAAAAAATGTGTCTTTACTGATTTGATTATGTTATATTTGTACTACGAGTGTTCGAGATAATGATAATTATAATAAATAAGAAATAGTTCTTTTGAATCTCAGAGGAAGAAGGCGAATGATTTGACAGTAGACAAAGAGAACGTCAGTAATAAACTGACGTTGAAATGTCAGAGTAACAGTGGTTCCTCTCCTTGCCAGCATGGCTGATAAAAAACACACTAAAGAAGTTTGTACTATATTATTTCTGTGTGTTTTATGGTATGCCGTTAGTTCCACCAACAATGTCGTCGGCAAGACGGTACTCAACGAATTTCCATATCCCATGACGATGACAATGGTCCAGTTGTTGTCCATAACAATATTTAGTGGTCCTTTTTTTAATTTATGGGGAGTTAGAAAATATGTTGACATATCATGGGGTTATTATTTTCGGCTGATAGTACCCTTAGCCTTTGGGAAGTTCATAGCTTCCGTATTTTCACATGTAAGCATATGGAAAGTCCCTGTTTCTTATGCACATACAGGTTAGTTTACTTTCACTTGTTGAGGTTACCTCCCCTTAAATATAGCATATGTTGTGTCTAAAACCACCCCTTTTTTTCAGTGAAAGCAACTATGCCCCTATTTACTGTGATTTTATCTAGGATAATTATGGGTGAGAAGCAGACGATGAAAGTGTATTTAAGTTTAATCCCGATCATAGCTGGAGTCGGTGTAGCTACCATGACCGAGCTTAGTTTCGACGTTATTGGTTTAGTGAGTGCTTTAGTTGCCACGGGAGGATTCTCGTTGCAGCACATCTTTTCGAAGAAAGTTCTACATGATACAGGTGTTCATCATCTTAGGTTACTGCACATCTTGGGACGCTTAGCTTTATTTATGTTCCTACCCGTGTGGATGTGTGTGGACATGTTTTCTCTTCTGAAGGATGACACTGTGGTAAGTAGAAAAGGATAATAATGTCGAAAATGTTTTTTAAATTACACAAAATTTAAAATTTGTTAGGGGAATTGAATAATTATTTAAGTAATTAACATTTTTCGGTATTTACATGTATTATCTGATATCTTCAAATATTCCTAAATGGATTCGTAAACCTTTTAAGTACTATAAATCACTCAAGTACTATCTTCCTTCTTATCTTAGCGTATTATAATTATGCTAAAATTTGTTTATTTTTAAATATATTTTGTGAAACTGAAGGTTTCTAACGAGTTCCTTGTTACTATCAATTGGAAATTTGGGTTGTAATACTTAAATATAACATTTACGTCTTAATAAATCTATTAATAAATTTAATATGGCAAAAATCGTCTTGAAGTAATACAGTATTAATATTAATTAGATACCATTTCGAGGAATTTGTAATATGAATATCTTTTTTGATTTTTTTCTGTAAAAGATAAAGTGGGAAAATCCAAATTTGTGGGTCAAGTGAGAGATAAAGTGGAAAGTCCAATTCTGTTGCCTAATAATGAATTTCATTAATACTTGTTTGCTTGTATAGTTCTTAGAAGGTCACTTAAAAATTATATCCACTAAAACAGGAATTGTAAAAAAAAGATATGCTATGCTACGTTGTTCTTCTTTTTCAGACTTACCACGATTACAGGGTAGTAGCTTTACTCATAACCGACGGGGTATTAAATTGGATGCAGAACATTATAGCGTTTAGTGTCCTATCTTTGGTAACCCCTCTGACTTATGCCGTTGCGAACGCTAGTAAACGGATATTCGTCATAGCTGTGTCTTTGTTCATATTGGGGAATCCGGTAACGAGTACAAATGTATTTGGTATGCTCCTGGCTATTTTGGGAGTTTTGTATTATAATAAGGTAAGTTTCTTTCTATTTTCTCACAGGTCGTTAAATTTTCTTGTACGATATGTTCAAAATTCACTTGTGGGTGCAAAATTCAGTAATACAAAGTGTAACAAAAGTTTAAGAGTCCAACTAAGTGAAATTCTATTACTTACGTTATAAATGCATTATCTCCATGCTATTTGATGTAGAACTACCTTGCAGGGAAGTAATAATTAATTTCTTGTATTACAATCTCCTTTACATTTATCTCGGTAATGTCACAACTAAGAATAAATAATAAATTTGAGTATTCGTTGTGAGATATGTCTAGACATCTTTGTTGTTGTCGTATATAGATTAATTTCAAAACTTGATAATTGTCTTGCACGATGTAGGGTATATGTGCTTATACCCATTTAGTACGGGCTGTTATTCGTTTATAACTTTAGTGTAATATTTTTTATGTAATAAATGGAAAACGATGTGCCATATAACAGTCAGGATAAAATTACTATTATCCAATTTGAAATTGACCGATATTTGAGATAAAACAAAGTTAAATACGTTCTATAAACGATAAGAAATAAAATATTTTTGTTGTATGCTAATCTTAAACTTTTTTAAATAAGTTTTATAGACACCCACATTTATTGTTCAGCATTCATTTTTCAAGGTTATAAGTCATTAATATTTTATGGCAGAAGTAAAATTTTGTTCTAAGCGATAGCCCTTGACAACAAGATGTAAAATACGATAAATAAAACACATACAAAATTATTAGAATAATAACTCGGACAATTTTTTGAAACAAAATGCCTAAATTTAATTTTTTACTTATATGTATATATTTTTTTTAATTGTGATACAGCTCTCTCTTGAAGTATCACGAGTATTTTCATTATTGGTATTAAATGGTACACCTTGTAGGTTTTATACCATTTTGTCTCTTTCTTTTTATCATTTTTTTATTCAAGGTTTCAACTTAACTGTTTTACATAAAATTTATAAATAAAGCGTTCCTTGAACATAAACTTGCTAGCAGTAATATGAATTAAATATAAACAATGTGCTGCTCTAACTAAAACATATTGTGTAGAATTTCTCAGCTTTGGCACATTCCAGAGTATTCTTTTCTGCATAGTTTGACATTCATTTTCTTAAATCATCGATAAGTGAGATATCAAGATGTAACTAAAAATTTACATGGAATATTTCCACTTATACTTGTTTACTAATAATTTATTTAAACAATTTTTATTCCTCTTATAAGGAAGCGGTATCATATTGTTAGGAATTTGCTTTTTATATAATTTTTTATATGGAAGATATTGTAAAAGCATGTTTTACGGCACCACGCCTCTATGGTTGCGTAATAAATTCCATATTAATTTATTTTCAATTTATATCACGAAGTAGATGTGTTGTATTTATTTATGGTTTGTTAAATTTCCATATAATTCATTATTGTGGTTTCATGGTATATACAGGGTTAAATTTTGAGCACAGATCATGTTTATATGGAAGTTAGCTTTAAGGAGGATTGCATGCTACGAAAAAATGCAGCCAATGTCGTATTATTGAGATGTATTATTTTTGCAATGCGAAATTAAATTCTGTGAATTATTCTCGGAATTATTTATTGATTGATTTGACACTGCGATTCACAAACTAAATACAGTGCTTTATAAACAGTAACAAATACTTTGTATTAAACGCTTGAATTGACATTAAAAATTATTTCTAATGTATCATATTATAGTAAGTATTTTTATTTATTTTTTATTATGTACAATCAGATTTCAGATTAATATTCTGTTTCACCCCTAAAAAAATGACACTTATCTTGAAATTTTAAATAATCTTAAAGTAACACTCACGATTAAGGGTTTATCGATTTCGAGAAAAATACTGTAATTTGCAATTTCCTTCCAGGCCAAATATGACCAGAAGCAACAATCAAAGAAAGACACACTCTTACCTTATAGTCAGCACAACTGGCAGGAGAGAAGCGCTGCGCTGTTCCCTAAGGAAAACGGGGTACAGAATGGGGGGTACGGTAAATTGTCTAACGGCTATGCCAACGGCTCGGTCTCAAATAACAACACTTTTAACTATAGTCCGCAAATAACGAAAGGTAATCTGTTGTTTGTATGAAGAAATCGATTGCGTTAGTGAAGATAAATTATTTATTTATTTTTTTACTGTCTTTGTGGGTAGGTTTTATTACGAGGAGTATTAACAATGATGGAAGTCCTGTAATACGTTTCGATTTTTTTTTTTTTTGGAAACGTACAGGGTATGAAATTCCACCCCTCACATTTCCTTTAAAATTGAGATTTTTTTATATTTTTAGAGGTATATTTTTTTGTTTTATATTTTGTAGATAACATACATATTGTCAATATATAATAAATTTAATATTTTGATAAAGTCAGGTTATACATGTGCATTATTTCTCATAGGGGTTGATGAAAAATGCAGTATTATATGAGATAATTGCAGTCTACGACATATTGTTTAGTATATTGGGTATATAAACTTCATTTTCGCAATAAATTACACCTTTCAGCAAAATTAATGTATCACAAAAAATGTGACGTCAATTTTTTAAATATTCGAGGAAAAAACTTGATGACTTCTAGGAAGAGAATTATTAAAAAAAATTGCTAAAATCAAAAAAAATTATCTGAGATTTTGTCTCATGCCATGATTTTAATGCAAAGTTTATATTCAGCTCCAGGAATACAAATGTTGACGCTAGGTATGTTTACTTATAGATTAGTAGATTTTAACTTTTGAAAAATATGACAGGATATTGACATTTTTTGTAAAAATATGTTTGGAAAAAATTGTTTTAGCAAAATTATAAATTTCAAAAAACTGTCGTAATACCGATAACTTTATATTTTTTATTTTGAGGTTGCTATAATTATATATTATTTTTATTTTTTCTATAGTACGATACAAATTGTTCTCGTTTTATTCTCCGGGAAACCACGGTTTTACAAACAACTTTCTAAATCTAAAGATGCCACGAGAAAGTTTTCTTCCTTTTTCAATGTCACCTGAAACAAGGCTGAAATGAAACAAAAACAGATTTCAAAAATTCCAGTTTTTTTTCAAATATTTCAGAAAACTAATCATGTTAGCTTTGACTTTTTAGAGGCATAATGTTGGTCTTCTGATTACACAACTTTGCCCCCATTTAAGCTACTTCGTATCTCTTACCGTTTCCGAGATCCCTGTAGTGAGAAGCGAATTTGTGACAGCCTGTACATATACAGTCATTGTACAAGTTGAAATGTATAATTTCTTTGTTATAAATTTAAGTACCTAATTAATAAATTGAAATTATGGTAAAATGGGACGTTTTCAAGAAAAATTGTGGTTTCTCAGAGTAGGAAAAAAATTAAGCGAAACACCTATAGGAAATTACAGAAGTAATATATCTATAAATTATATGGATATATATTTTTAATTTATAAATATGGTGTGCTTTGTAAATATTGTAAAATAACGAAATATTTATTTGAGTAATTTAACTTGTTTCCTTGTTTTTGTGTGACAAATAACCAAATAATAAAGGTCGAGTAGTCTATTTTAAATTTTTAAAGAAAGAATTAGTATTTTTTTAAATATTAGTCGTCAATTACGAAATATATATGTATGTTTAATCTATAGTTTATATAAGTATATTTTTTCTTGAGCAATTCTTTATTTTTATTTTTTTTTAAGAATCGGAAGATAAAATATAGGAATTATGTACATACAAACCTTCTAGCTAATATACAGAGTGTCCCAGAAATAAACGGCAACGTTTTACCCAGACCAAAAGCAACAACTTTTGCCTAACAAATTTTTTTAAAATATATTTTGACCAGCGCTTTGTACCCACTAAAATAAAGCTAACGAACTGCCTATAGATTATTAAAATATCTAAGTAACATGCTGCCCTACTAAGTTAGAAGGTCATTATGACATTTTTTTCATTATTTTCAATAAATTTATTAAAATTGGTAGTTTCAGGTACAACAAACAGTGACTTGACAAATATTGGACTTAAACTTTGGGTATAGGTGAGAGATAGCCTGCAAAGCATATGTCACATCTTAAATGTCATTGCTACTCTATGCCTACTGGCGTAAAGCATGCCTTTGTATCTACTGGTACAAAGTGACCTACTACTCTGTAGGCATCCTGAGGGCATAGCTAGTAGGTACAAAGCAATGTTTTATGCCAGTAGGCATTGTGTACAAGTGACATTTATGATGTCAGAATTTTTAAGGTTATATCGGTTACACTCAAAACATGTCGGTAGATAGATATCCAAATGGCTAAATTATTCATCTTTGTGCATTTATGATCATGAAATTACACCAGTAGTTATTTTGGTTCTCTGTGCTGCAGTGGCGGGTAACAAAAATATATAAAAGTAGAGGTTTTCGGAAAAAAATTATTGGACAAAAGTTGCTGCTTCTGGCGAGTTAAATACGAAGTTTAAATTTTGGCACTTATTTCTGGCTTACCCTACGGTCTAATAGTTTAATGTGTTCTGTGTTTTGAAATACAACAATCTACGGTTGATTGAATGTAGTTTGTTGCATGTGAATTGAACATGTGAGAAAGTATTTGTTTTTCAGTAATGATACAGTTTTCAGGTGGTTTTCATGAAGGCCTATTTTTAGTCATTAGAACGTTGTAGGTAATATTGTTACTACAGGTTAGTAATTGTAACTTTAAACGTTTTTTAGTACCAATACAGCGTTTTACAAGTGTATTATTTATTGATATTTGTAGTTGTTAATGGTACCTTTGAAACAAGTAAACAATTCTTCAAAATACCTTGCCATTAAATAATTTTTTAATTGAAAATGATCATAGCCATCACACAAAAATGAATTTTCTCATTTTAATATGTTCATTTAAAAGTTATACAGCCGTGTTAAGGCTAATGGGCATATTTGATCTTATTCCTAAAATTAAGTGGAGTATCTGTATATTAAATAAATTAAAAGTCTCCGAATGGGCGTCGTGGTTCTACAGATGAATTTTATCTGTCGGGGCTTTAGTTCGCAGAGTAGTTGCTTCCCACAATATCATAGCTAAAAGTCCTTTTGAAATTTCAGTCTCTGCATACTATACTAGGTTTTACACAATAATACAGAGTCTAATGATCGTATCTAACATTTAAAATATTATGGTTTTTCGGGTTGTTATGCTGTTGCCTATGTTGAAGCAAGTTACAGACTTGCGTTGCATTTCTTTAGCCCTACCTAGGAATCTCTGACCTGTCCTTGTTCTCGGTCCAGGGTCTGTGGGGGCAGACCCCTCACATATGCCCATTAGCTAGTGCTAGCATGACGGTATAACTTTTGATAAAAATGTCAAAAATGAAGGAGCATATTCCTTGTTAAATTTAATATATTTTTTTATATAAACATTTGTCGTTTTTGAGATACATGAAAAACTTTTTATTGTTTAATCTATATAACTCATCAGTTAGAGAAATTGTGGTTTTTAGTGTGTAGATGAAAATGATTTGCTGGAAGCGAAATAAAATTAATTTAGTTTATTGCTATTGCATTATATTTTTAAAACCACGAAATGATTGAAGTTACCATGGCGGTAATCATGTTTTGTAATATTTTTAAATAAAAAATAAAATATATGTATTCTACCTACCTGTTTCTTTAATAAATATATAGGGTGTTTCAGTAAGTTAGTAAATTTTAGTCGGTAATAGTGCTAAGTTATTTTTTTTTTATAGAGCTATTTCAGGCTTTAATTTACTTGCTTATCACGTTTTATAGAGAAGCTCTGTTGACGACTATGGTTAAAACATTATTTTCATATAAAATTCAGTATATAACTTAAATAATTAACAGTAATTTCATCATTTCCTTCATGTTGACAAATTTCGGTAAAATTAAAACAATAAGATCAAGATTACATTTAAACACAACATTCTATTTCATCGGCTGTGATTGGTGCAATCTTTCAACCAATTAGCGATCGCTTTATCTCGAGCGTAGGCGTGTGAAGGCTCTGAAGCACCTAAAGATAAGTAGGTCTTATGTCAGTAGATATAAAGCAATGCTTTATGCCAGTAGGCATTGGGTAACAATGACATATACTTTGTAGGTTAGCTCATCTACACTCGTAATCAATCTGTTGAATTTTTGTCTACATATTATGTTTAATGTTTCTGTTTTTTTTGTACATAACTTGAAGGATTTTGTAGTTGTTAAAAATATGTTGAGATATTATTTTGTAGTTTATATGAAATCGAAAAACGTTTTAATTGTATAGCTCTGAAGATGTAAAAATTTCGACACATTGATAAAAAATAACAGTGATGCGCTTGCTATATTTCCTCTCCAGATCAAAAAAGAAAATCAAATATTTTTACTTACTTTATATTTATTTAAAACACTATATGATAACAGATGAAAATTTAAATTTGCAATATGCTATGATCATTTTTCAAAACAAAGAAAATTAATGTTGAATAATTATTAAAATACTGTTAGACAAGTATTTAGTTAACTATAGCATTAGTAGCATAATGTAATTGTTTTTATTTTATATTTATTATAGCAAATTAATTTGTAGGATAGGTACTCTTATACTTCTCTTTTTTAGCATATAAAACTTTTATTTATATAAAATTTGTTAAACCTATTATACAGGGTGTTCTAAAAGTACAGAAATACAAGTTTAATACAGGGTGTATACCAAATTTGGACCGAAAATTAATTGATATTTCCAAGTTTTCCAGGTTTCCATTTGAAACATTTGCTAGCAAAAATGTAAGCTCTAAGTTCCAATTTTGCAATGACCATTTTCCAAATTTTTTGTTTGTATCTCTCCCACTTAATTTATTTATTGAGTTAGACTCTGGTTGACATGAAGTTTGCATCTTGGTCTTATCCTAAATGAAAAACGTGATTTGATTTAAAAAAATTCTAATAATATTTGCTTTCTGAACACCAAAATAAGAGCAATCTAGATATGAGTATATTTATTGAAGACATATTTTTCGAAAAATATATGGGATTTTTGGCTAAATTCTAATAGCATGTAGGTCGATAAGTGTTTAGTTTCCGATATATAGGGTGTTCAAGTTGAGATTCCCGAAAAAATTTTTTCGAGTAAAGTTGAAACCTAAAGACAAACATAAAAAATTTACACAAGCGTTTCACTTTTATCATTTATAAAAAAAATGGTTACTGTGAATTAGAATTATTCAGGAGTGGGTAAAATTGGAGAGCTTGAGTAAAATTTTGTTCTAGCTTTTTTGTTGCAAGAATTTTTAGCTTATTTAATTAAGACCAGGAACTTTAAAATTTGATTTTACTTGAAAATGGGTAATTTAAAAAAAAGGTAGGCAAAATTTTTTCATTTTGAAGCGTTTCTATATTCTAAACATTCCATGGTTGTGGCATTTTTTTTCTTATTTTGGGGAGAAATAAAGAAAAATATATGTTAACAGAATAATTTTGTGACATCCAGTGGCCGCACTTGGTAAATAAGGACCGATTACAGTAAGTTTTAAAATTTTCCAGGAAACTTGAAAAACTACCTGATATTTCTTTGATAATTACATTTTTTCCTGTTTTTTTCCCATTCGAGTATACACCCTGTAATAAATTGCAATTGCAGTATTTTGGCACATTTATTTACATTACTAAGATTTTCTGTAATGTATCTGTGACACTTATCCTTTATTGTTATTATATATTATTATTTTGTATATGTATATATAATATTGTTGAATGAGGAATTTTTCCTTAAAAGTTCAAGACAATATCCATTACAGTATTATTTACTATAGCGTAAAAGTTCTCGTGCAATTTTTCCTTGTCCTCTATTTTCGAGTGGGCTGAACACGAATCTGGGGTTATTTTTGTCCGGGTGAACCTAGTTTAAAAAAAATATTTCAAAATTGTAACCTGTACACCACGCGTCATCACTGTCTGCAACTCTGTACTAATGTCTTTTAAAATACATGCAATTAGAGATTTAGCAGTCCATGGAAACTATTTTCCGTTTTCTTAAGAATAATAACCAAAAAAACGGTATGTATTTGTACATATACCATTTCGTATATAAACTGCCTTTGGTCGCCATACCAGTAATTTTCTACCCCTCTCTCACTCGTCTATCCTCTTTGTCTGATGTCTAAGGTTACTAAGTCCTGCTTTACTTCGCTTACCCATTCATACGAATCATGTGATATGGAATAATATAAATATAAATAAATGTAACTAATTTGGAATTGTAAAATAAACTATATGTTTCATTTTCATGGATTCACAGTGCTCTCTTAGAACTGGTATAATTAACTTATGTGAATTATCTCAAGATCAATTTCTGCATACATTTGGGTATTTTTTTTGTATAATAAATACATAAAAACTTAATCTGACCTAAACTAACATTACCTATGTAGAATTAATTTTTGTGAAGGTAGGTTAGATCAGGTAATTTTTTTAATGTCATTCATTTGCTACATTAAATTATAAAAATAAGTTCTGATCAAACGGACATAACAGTTAACAAATTATTATAAGTATTTTTATTTCTTTTCATCCAAATACGTCATTTTTAATCGATTTGCTGTTCGTAAAAATAAATTTGCGGTACTTAGTAACCTTATTTCAGATTGTGACAGAGAAACTGGAGGAGGAAACTCGAGAATATGATTTTTGAGAATTTTATGCTACAGTAAATACTTACCTTAGTTGTCTGTTATGAATAAAAAATGTGCCATTACTTGGAAGTATTGTTTATTTTTGGACCACCCTATATCGCGATTTGGGATGCTGCGCGCGATTTGTCTTATGTAAATAATTGATACGTTTTTTTATAGAACCATAACTTTATTAATTTTGAGAATGGAAGAGGAGAATCTAATTTACATCGAATTGTGTTCTTTCCATAATCATGTTTGAATCTGAGTTACGAATCATAGTGAAAAAATATAATTATATATTATTTATTTTTCTCGTTAAGATATCAGTTAAATTATAATTGTTTATTATTTTTTTAATATAGCTATTGTATAAAATGTAGATATTAACTTATAAAAACTACAGTATTGTATACTTCAAACTTGTATTTATGGAATATCATGTAAATATGAATATATCTTAACTAAAAAATAAATATTTTTATAATATAGAATCTGGAATTATATTTTAATAAATAAATTACAAAGTCTTTGTTATTGTGTTCTGGCTGGCCGAAAACGACTTCTTCGACATACTATCTTGGAGGTCCTGCAAAAAAAAAACAATATAAGCTACAGTGCTCATTCGCGTATTTTTATAACTTACTTTTTCTGGGTAATTCAGATAGGGGTTTCTTGCTACAACTAATTCTATTCTGTCTCCGGCAGATGCTATAAGGGGGACTGTCAGGCAGCAATCGAAATCTTGCGTTTTCGTGTCGTTTACCTTTAACAATAAATATGAAATAGACATTTATGATGTGATGTTATTACTAAAACATAAAAGTCAAAGTCGAAGGTATAAAGAGCTCGACACTATGGTGCATAAATAAGGCGGAGAGATGGGGCTTTCCACATCGTTCTTAATATACAGGGTAGCCCATCGAAAACGTACCGCAAGGCATTACAGGGTAGTAATGAACTTTTCGGCAAAATCCAAAAACAGGTAAAGTTTGCTTCTGAGGGGGACAACTTTTGACGCAAAAAGCATAGCAAAATCTTCAACCCCCTAAGTGGGGGTGCCATCCCCCAAATTTTTTTAAATGGGAATGGGGGTCAAGTGGGGGGTCATTAGAAAGGGCTTTTAATTCTCTATACATCGATTCTTACTTTTTGAAAATCGATCCATTATTTTAGAAAATATGCAGCTTTGAAAATACGAACAATATTTTTGACGAGAAATGCGAAAATCGATTTAATTTTACTTCAAAACTTACGGTATTAGCTTGGTAAATTCCTTCAAAAGAATTCGCTGTTTTTTTTCTGATTTGCGAATTCTTTAGCCTGATTTTGGTGAGCAAAAAATTGTCCGCTTTTTGTTTCGTATTTAGATAGGCCACAAGAAGTTGCTAGATAACTGTCTTGTGACTTGTAGTTGAAGAGTACCAATACTGCCGAGTCTTTTAAATTGATTAATTATGGTGTACTCAATTCCAGAAAGAGTAGAAATTATTGAGCTTTTTTTCAAAAACAATGAATGCGGAAATCGGGTCGCCGAACTGTTCAACCAACGGCATCCTGAGAAACATGCGTCTGGAAAAATTGTTCGCGAATTGGTGGCCAAATTTCGCGAAACTGGCTCCGTTCATAACAAAAAGAGGCAGGTTGAAAATCCGGTACTAAATGAACCTACGGAAATAGCGGTATTGGGGCAAGTGGCAATGGATAGTACGCTGAGTACAATGCAATTGGCTACTGCGACAGGAGTGAGTCGTACAAGTGTCCAACGAATATTAAAAAAATACAAATTCCATCCTTATAAGATTCGGCTAGTGCAAGAGCTAAATGAAGACGATTTTGATCGTCGTTTGCAATTTTGCGAAATAATGACTGAACGAGCGATAAACGATAATTTCCTCTTTAATGTGTGTTTTTCGGACGAGTGTACGTTCTTCTTGAATGGTTTAGTGAATCGCCATAATTGTCGTTACTGGGCTGATACCAATCCAAGGATTTTCCATGAGACACACTCCCAACACCCCCAGAAGTTGAATGTATGGGCAGGTATTTTTGGAAATTCCATTGTAGGTCCTTTTTTCCTTCCTGGAAATTTGACAGGCGATATGTACTTGGATTTACTACAAAATGTCATCGACCCAGCTCTAACAAATATCATAGAGGACGACCCTGCTTACAATGAACACGAACTGATTTTCCAGCAAGACGGAGCTCCTCCACATTACTCGCTCAATGTGCGCAATTACCTAAATGAGACGTTTCCAGGACGCTGGATAGGACGAAGAGGTGCAATTGAGTGGCCCCCTCGGTCACCCGACTTAAATCCTTTAGATTTCTTTCTCTGGGGGCACATTAAAAGCAAAGTTTACAGCACTCCACCTGATACCTTGGAAGATCTGCGAGGACGAATCATTAATGTATGTCGCGAAGTAACACCGCAAGTGCTCCAGAATGTTCGACAACGGTTTGAAGACAACCTGTATCATTGTATGCAAGTTGGCGGACAACATTTTCAGCATTTACTTGACTAATACCGTAAGTTTTGAAGTAAAATTAAATCGATTTTCGCATTTCTCGTCAAAAATATTGTTCGTATTTTCAAAGCTGCATATTTTCTAAAATAATGAATCGATTTTCAAAAAGTAATCGATGTATAGAGGATTAAAAGCCCTTTCTAATGACCCCCCACTTGACCCCATTCCCATTTAATAAAAATTTGGGGGATAGCACCCCCACTTAGGGGGTTGAAGATTTTGGTATGCTTTTTGAGCCAAAAGTTGTCCCCCTCAGGAGCAAATTTGACCTGTTTTTGGATTTTGCCGAAAAGTTATTTACTACCCTGTAATGCCTTGCGGTACGTTTTCGATGGGCTACCCTGTATTTTACATTAAATGTGTTGGTTGATACGGTCCGCTATATCTGAAGAAATTTAAAAATGCCTCTTCGAGTATTACAGCGAGTTTTTTTCTCAGAAATTGGAAAAAACTGGAAAATTCGGAAAAATTGCGGTCTAGTTTACCAATACCGGACTCGCCGAATTGCTATTCGAGTATAAATTACGAGACACATCATGGTCAAAGCATAGGAAGAAATTTGAGGAGAAGTGCATATTCTACTGAATAATGATACTCTTAAAATGACCTGGACATACATAAAAATACGACGTAATTAAGCTATTCACGTGGAGAAATCTCGACAACAAAATTTTTAAGGCGCAGCAACAAACTGTTTCTGTTCGTGTAAAAAAATAGTTTCAAAATAATTTCCTACTGGAAACTACTCCAGCTCCTATTACCTGTATAATCCGGTCGTAGGGTTTCAATAGACCGACAATATCCGCCGGTCCCCCTTTTCTAATCCTGTTCACGTAGACCCCCTTCTCGTAGAGGCCGTCGCTGACACTGAATCCATAATCGTCGTATATGGAATCTTTGTATAACGTGACGTGGTAGATTTCGTTGTCCAACATGCTCTCGTTGCTGTAGGTGCCGGGCAGCCTGTCTATAAAACTATTGGGCGATTGCGCGAAACTGTTCTCATATTTCATGGTGTTTGTGAAGCTGTAATTTGGCAGAGGCAGGGGACTCGGGCAGAATATCTCCTCGGTGTCTGAGTAGTATTGGAGCTGCGAATCGCGCTTCCTGTTTTTGGTGAGGGTCAGGTCCTTGTCTTGATCTTGATATGAAAGGGGTTCGCTTAGGACGCTTTCCACGTCTTTTATCTCGGGGATATCTAAAAAGAAAAGTTTCGGTTATAAGTACCTTCCGAGAATGGGAAGACAAATCATCAGATTTGGATTTGGGCGAAGAAGTACCTGTGGCGTTATCATTGGTGTTATCCACAGTGTTGCTGTCCCAAGAATGTATTGCGCTGTCCACACTCATTAGCCCTGGGCTAGAGTAGCTGCATCTTGGTTCTTCCATACCGTTTTCTGTAAAACAAATAGTTATTCATACACTTCAACAAAATATATTATTAAAAGACTATAAAATTTACAAGTATTGAAAGAAAAAATACAGGACGAATTGTTTGATAATTCTGAATTTGTTTTTAAATCAATAAATAGAGTAAATTAAAGCATATTTTCAACTGTATCATCACAATTACTTGCATGTTGAAAATTTGTAAAAATTGTAATGTTATTTCGTTTTTAGGTATTCTCCTTATGTTGTTGTAAAGGTTGGTTATAAAAATCGTTGTTTGTTATTTCAAGAAGTATGATTTTTTTAATGATTTTTTACTTTAAACATATTTTATGTTAGCAAATGAAAATAGTAGCTAATTAACGAAATTATGATTAAATAACCTAACTGTGACACCGCTACAGAATATCATATGGAACTACATAGATATTCGCTGATTCTTTAAAACATTTTTATCAATACCTACATCATACATTTAAGTAAATACAGTAACGCAAGAAACAGATATTGATAAAAAAGTACAAAATAAATCCGTAAGTACGCCTGGCAACATTGCCAAAGTGTTGTTTATATGTTGCTAGGATACACGTAGGAATGCGGCTGCTGCATTTGATTCATCCTAAAATTCTGCTGGTGGTGTACTCTATCGGCAATTCGGAAATTTAAAACTGCTGTCCTATTCCAGTAGCGGTCTGGGGCGAAGCTATATTGTCTGTGGTATACATATAACCTCCATCCAAAGCTAGGTACGCCCTATATCAATGTATACATACCGGTAGGTTTGATATTTCTTGCTATCTTCAACTGTACTCTGTCTCCAGAAGTCTGAAGCAACCTTATAGCATCTGACAAGGGCCTGTGTTCCAAACTTTCACCATTTATTGCTAATATTCTATCCCCCACGTGTAAAGCACCAGTTTTCTCTGCCAAGCCGCCTGAGAGGAAAAAATAAATCATAACGATAGGGTCGCACAGTGCGCTATGTTCGCTGTAAATATTAGAAACTGCCGATATTACGACTGCACAGTGTACCATGCTATGAGTATTAAGAATTGCCACCATTGTTTTATGGTTATGACGTTATGTTAACTTTGTTCGCCAATATTACGATCATACGTAGCGCTAATTAGCTTGATATGTTTTTAGCTACATTTTACGATAAAAACCTGGGTAAAAATAGTTCTCCATTTACTAATACAATGGTGTCTAATATACATAACGTTTTATGTAGCCTTAGTATAAAACACCTTTCGTGTCTATCATCGTAAAATAGCTATGCCTAGCGAGCATAGCTCTTAGTGTGACCTTAGCATTAAATAGCATGATCATACAGAATAGGTAAGCTATGCTCGCGATTATGGACACTTTGAAGTAGATTTGTTTTTATCGGCTATAATTTACTATTAAAACCATGATTGCCTGCGCTACGTAATCTATGCTCGCGATGAAATCAGGCATTATTTTTTTTATGAAAACAGATAAAAACAGTTCACTATTACTAACTCATGCAATGATGTTTAATATACATAGCGAACATAGCGCTCTGTGTAGTTTAACATTAAATATGTGTAAAAGAACTTTACTCTCGCGATGGTAGACATGTCGAGGGAGATTCGCTCTTCAGTTTTAATGATATAAACTGAGACAAAACAGTTCACTATTTCTTTACGCCTAGCGCACATGATGTTCGTGTGACTTTATGAAAAAGATCGCGAAATAACTATACGTACGTACGTATATACTGTTCGTAATATACGTAGCGAATATAACGAACATAGCTACATAGCTACCGTAGCTTCGTGTAATCGCAGCATAACACAATTCTGATTTGAATTAAAGAACTTAAACTGTGCAGTTACTCGTCTAGCTAATCTTTCATTTGTTCTCAAGGTAAACGTGAAAGCTAGGAGATATTTAAACGTGCGTTACCTTCCGTTAATCTCGACAGAATAATGGGATCCACGCAATCCTCGCTCCCAGAGATGGTGATACCCAGCGGTCCGCCGTACCTGTGCAATTCGACGGTGTACACCACGCTGTCCAGGAACAAATTGGCGTTCTCGGTTTCGGTTTTCTCCACTTTCAGGGTGACTATCTCGTTGGTGGACGTCTGGAGGATGTCGAAGGCCGACTCTATGGTCATGTGATCCAGCTGACGATTGTCGATGGCCAGCAGGCGATCTCCGGCGTGCAGGGTGCCTGTGCGGTGGGCTATGGAGCCCCTGCGGATCTCCGAAATGATGAAAGGTTCGTCTGGGCGAGTTTTTGAGGCTGAAATAACGTACATTCGTGTATTTTAGGTTTTCAGTAGTTGCGGTGGATGATAGTACACAATTGTTTTATGTACAGGGTGATACACTCTATTTTGACCCCCCCCATTAACTTTTTTGTTTTTAGAGTTATAAAAAATTGTAAAATACAAAAGTTGCACGATTTTTTATGAAATTTTCGAAAATGATAGTAGAAAAACAAATGAACTCCAAACAAAATAAACTAATTTTAAAATATAAATCTAATTTATATTTTAAAATTATTTTTGTCGGTTTAAGGAAGTATATCGGGTTTACTCAAATGCACAGATGTACTTGAAATTTATATAGCGTATTAGCTAGTGCTCCCTCTGTGCGTCATATTTTTTTGAAATTTTTTTTGAATCTAGATTTTGAGATATTGTTGTTGAAAGATGTTCATTTTAACACAGGTTTATGTGGCGAAGATGGACGGTGCGGCTCTTTTTTTGCTCATAACTGAGAAAAAAATGTAGAAATTGTGAAACAAAACTTTTCCATAGATAGTACACAGGTATTATCTTATTTTTGATGTAAAACTAATGTTATGTTTTGAACATAGTACAGCTGTATTAATTAGAAACAGAAACCAATAATTGCATTTCTGTCTGACTTGAGGATTAATGTGGCAACGTCGCAATCAGCGGGCAGCAAGGAGGGAATACATTTGAAAGACGATAACAACGAAATTGATTTAAAACACTATTTTTTCTAAATCCCATGTACATTGTTATCAACAATAAATTATCCACAACAGATGATTTTTTGTAATGTTTTTAAAAAACTAGATTAATTAAAAAAGACTAGGAAGCTGTGACATATTTATTGGAATAAAAAATAGTTGATAAATCCTTTTAATATATTTAATGGTTTATAAAAACATCCAGCAATATTTAGGGTTACATAAAGTTTTCTTTACTTGATTAATATAATTAGTAATACTTGAGATTTGTACGGAATAACAAAGGAACATAAACATTTCTCAGCAAACTTTATATCTAGAAAATTAGTTATAGTTGCAAAACTTTTGTAACATTACTAAAATAGAGATTAAAAACACGAACAGTGAGTAATAATGTAATTTCTATCACAGAATCTTCAAAATTGCATCCAACATTTTCTTCGACTTGGACGAGAGATAGGCGCGAGTGTCATTTCATATCTTTAGAACTAAATTAACATAATTCTCGTTGTTTTACCAGTTCACATGATTTACGGATTTTAAATAAAGGATATAAATCTTCGCGAGGATAATACGATATATAGTTTACACACAATACATTTTTGAACGCGTACGCATCTTTACCCGAATTTGACGCGCAATATCTCCGATGTCCGAGGTCTGTAGGTTCGCAGTGTGTAGAACTGCTAGTCAATTATTAGCGCTGTTGCCACATCTACATAGTCTTTATGCGTTCATTAAATATAATTTAAAACTACTTAAATATGATATTTTTATGTTGTTAATTAGTCAATATGTATGCTATGTGCATAAGAGTAGATTTCTCTGCTATATGATGCAAATGATTTCAATAGAATTTAATTTTTTCAAATTGGCAGCGGGTTTTAGTCCCATAAGAAAAGCATCGGACCCCCCCTGCGCTCCTCACTTCCCTTGGACCTCGATATACCTCCTTAAGAACATTAAGAAAGTTCAAACAGGTTTTATTCAAAAAGTATAAGATACTGTGTTATACTATTGAATAAATCCAAAATAAACAAAACAGCATCAAAATTAAACCGAGACGGCCTAAATTTAAGCAATCCGTTAATGTTCCGAACGCTAACGAAGAGCAACGGAGATTAGCCGATTAGCCTTCGCTGTTCAGTTAAAATGCCGCGTATTGCCGCCCCAGAAAAGTCGCTACTTCCAGTTGACTTCACACCTGGTATGATATGACGGTATGGTAAATGGATAAAGAACAAACTGCCACGTTAATTCGGCGAAACGGAAATAACAGAATACGTCATCAACACTTCATTGTGTTACATTTTATTTTAGTTTTCACTTCGGTTACTGACGGTACAGTGAATTTTTGTGTTTTCATTTTCATGTTTTTCTGTGAAACAGCATGCATATGAGTCAAGAAACAGTTGATACGGTTAGAGCCTACTTTTTGTCAGGAGAAAACCATGTTGTTGCAAGAAGACGACATCAGTTGGATTATCCCGACCCAGAAGTACCGAATAAGAAAATGTCTGGTTCAATGTTTAAGAGATTATGCGTAGGAATTCATTGCATTTTTAACTTTTTCAACATTTCCATCAAAACCACATAAATTTTGCAGGGTAATAGGATTTAACCGGGCCACATGTGGGTTATAATACGGCAGAAAATGAGTATTATTTTCGAATTTAACATTACTCCGCCGAAACGAACCCCTTTGTCGGATCCGTAAGTCCGAAATCCGAATAAATGGCTCGGCAAATGAAGCTACTTCCTTTTTGACGGTAAAAGGTTTTCCGTACAATAAATATTCCGATATAAGGACGACTTTAGATTATTCCACCCTCGTATAAATAATAAATAAGGCCCATTACGCGCACTATATAAAACATACCTAATAGAACAGGGTCGGACTGGATGTATTTCCTAAACGGTGACTGATTGTTGCATCGAAATGCCTTCCTATACAGGGTGGTCTGTTAAAGAGCGACGGATGAAAAAATGTTCAAGGAAAAACGTGTTATTCAAATGCATTGCAACCAAATATTTTTGGCATGGTCTAAGCACTGTTTTAATTTTAATTTCAACGGAGAAAATGTCACATTTAGTCCTTCAGGGATTAAGTTTACTTTTAATCTGTTTAGCTGAAATAATGATACAGCTTCCAAGACAATTCGAGGTAATTTGATTTGATTTTTCAAATATAGTTTGGTATTTTTTTTTTAGTTGGGGTGTTTCTTTTAGCCAGACTAAGAACGTTTTTCAAGTACCATTATTTTGAATGCTGAAAAGTAACGAATATAAAAATATAATTTTCTCACAGATAAAATAGAGACCATACTCATAATCCCATAACCATACCATGAACAATATTAATTTATCTTCTCTAGTACTAACTGGATCTTCTTCTAAAACATCTACCTGCAGCAATCTAGATAGCTTAGGTCCAACATGCCTACCTCGAATTTCCTGTATGTGTTCTACTTTGAACAGCATAAACGAACCTACGAACTGCAGGATGTGATCGCAAAGGAAAACAATCGGCATACAATCGCGATGCTATGGCAGCATTTTGGTTACATTCCCAATATGTCAATTTATTTAATTCCATTTTATTCATTATATTAACTTAGTTTAATGTACTTAATTACAATGAGTCCCCTTGCCTTTAATTTTTTGGGGTGCTTAGGTAGAGTGAGTCCCTTGCCTCTATTGAAAAATTAAAGAAAATACTACAGTTCCATTTTGTAGAATACGCACGCCTTTTCTACGCATTTTCTACGCTGGAAATTTGTGATGATGTTGATGAAACGTTAATTTTAGAAGTTAATATCGTAAATACCTATAATTTCTAATTGATTCAAAGAAACGTATCGGAAAAGAAAAATTTCAAAAATTTTAAAAACTAACAAAGTACGACGTGTAAAGCAGCGTTATAAACAAATTGTTCCAGGGTCAGGGCAAAAGCCGCTCGGGAATTCGCTCTTTTTGCATTAAATAGAGCTTAGTTTTACGGTAATTAAAAAAAAAGAGAAATGATCTACGCCTTTGTATGTAACGTTCATTGTTAATTAAATATTGGACGTATCGGACCGGGATTTTAGACACAATGAAAGAAAGGGCAACATTTTTATTTTCAGAAAGTTTTACATTCATAGTTCATGTATTAAACGCGCTAGCAGCAGAAAAAGTTAACTACAATAAACGGCCTACACGCGGGAGAAAGGGCGCCGGATCCGCGCATGCGCGTGAACATTGCTCTCGGTCGCGCGCGAGATTTTTTACTTAAACGTTTGAAATTCGTTTCAAGTATTGGGATATTTTGGTACCTGATGAAATTGAATACATACTAGCAACGGTAAAGGTAGGGTAATACATTTTAGTAACATTTGAGGACTGACTTTTTACTGCAATGACCTCTGAAGGTAATTTTGACCCATAAGTGAAATTTTTTTATCTATATTTATGTGAAATTTTCTGGTCTCTCCGGATCCATCGTCAAAAATGAGAGTTTCTATTAAGAAAAACAAAGTTGACCTTCAAATGACCTTGAAAATTTACTTCAAGGTAAAGTTCAAGGTCATCTTCAGTTGAAGTCTACAACTTGCTCAATTATCAATAAAGTCCATTGTTTGTATGGGGATAATTGACGGGTAGCCGCCGTTTGTTTCACCCTGTATTTGTAATATTCCATATTTTGATGCCTTGTACAATATCAGTGGACAGATAATTCAATTCTAATTTTCTTCCTTTAACATTTTTTGATACGACCAATATTAAAAGAGTAAATTGGACTGTATTGATTATTTTAAAGTAAAAAAAACTACAAATAAGGTACCTACTATTATAATTCTACATATTGATAACTTCAACAAAATTTATTGGGAAGTAGATTTAAAATAAATTGAAAACAATAAAAACTATTTATAAATGAGTATAATATTTTAAGCCAACTAACACCCTTACTTATTGACACTACTATCGGTATGAAATTTCAATAGTGTTAACTTTCAAAGGTCACACTAGTGCGAATTCGCACCACCGGTTTTTAATAGTTGGCATTTCTCAGGTAGCAGCTGACGAAGATTCCCCCCCACCACGATAATTCCTTTTATAGCCCAAACAGACCGTACCACAGCTGGCCTCAGTCTATTATTGTCGGAATAGAGAGTCTTAAAAGTCCGATCGGTGCGAATTCGCACTAGTGTGACTTTAGTGTGGACAAAAGTGTGGCTGAATTTATATCATATAATCTAAAAATAAAGTGAATTGAAACGCAAATTTCCGATTTTTATTTAGTTGTTTTATTGTTAATATTTTTTTTCAAACATTTTTTTCATTAATAGTTTAATTGTAACATGTATTTGTCAATATTTATGGATAATACTGTTAAAATTAATATTTATATAAAAGAGTGCAAAATAAACATCAATTTACAGAAAAGGAACCAAAAATCACAAATGTATATGTTCGAGATACCGGGAAAAATCGATAATATCATTTTATCAATATGGGNAGTCTATTATTATTGGAATAGAGAGTCTGAAAAGTCCGATCAGTGCGAATTCGCACTAGTGTGACTTTAGTGTGGACAAAAGTGTGGCTGAATTTATATCATATAATCTAAAAATAAAGTGAATTGAAACGCAAATTTCCGATTTTTATTTAGTTGTTGTATTGTTAATAATTTTTTTCAAACATTTTTTTCATTAATAGTTTAATTGTAACATGTATTTGTCAATATTTATGGATAATACTGTTAAAATTAATATTTATATAAAAGAGTGCAAAATAAACATCAATTTACAGAAAAGGAACCAAAAATCACAAATGTATATGTTCGAGATACCGGGAAAAATCGATAATATCATTTTATCAATATGGGGTATTTTTTTTCTTAAAAATATAGGCTTTGAACTACAAAATCCTTTTTTTAAACTATTACCACCACTACGTTACAATAAAACATTTATTATTATTAACTATTACCATCACTTGGTCATAATAACTCAATAAGTTGTTGCGTCAAAACTAAAACATTATTACAATTTTAATTTTATTATGACAAATTAATTCTTAAAAATGCATATGAACAACCAAAACGGCAACTGAATATTATTCTTTAAAAAATTTCAGTAAATGTTCAAAAACATTTTCGTTTTGGCAAAGGGTGAAAATGAAGATCAACGTAATATTATCGGAATTTATTATACCTGTATGTAACTGCAACTGTGAAAAAGCATGTCAGATGTATTTGTACGTATATCCTGAAAAAAATAGATCGGAATTTGTTTGAATTTTGAGATCTCGAGAAGCCTACAAATAACTATGGACACGGGAATAAAATGCTATTTTTTTATTTTAATGAGCGGTGGTAATAGTTTAAATAACTAGATGGATTTCACAGGGTCTAACGGCACTTACAGTGTACGATAATTCAATAAACAAAGTAGTCTAAATAAAAATTTAGATAAATTTGGAACGAATACACTGAAGATGAATTTTTCGAGACAAAACGTCTGAATCTGGTTCGGGCTGAGGCAGTACACTATTTGGGGTCATGAAGGCTTGCAAAAAATGTAATAAAATTTCTAGGGTCGTATTCAAAAAAATGAAGTTGAAGATGAAAATTGATTATGCCATTCGATAGAGGGCAAAAGGTGGCCATGAGAAATGTGTTCTTCTTTTTTCAATATCACTTCAAACAAGGCTGAAATTAAACAAAAACTGATTTCCAAAATTTCGTTTTTTTTTTAATATTTTGAAAACTAATCATGTTAGCCTTGATTTTTTAGAGACATAATGTTGGTCCCCGGATTACGCAACTTTGCCCCCATTTAAGCTAGTTTGTATCTCTTCTCGTTTCCGAGATCCCTGTAGCGAATTTGTAACAGCCTGTATTTTAGAATGACCCTGTGTAGAAATCACCACTCTAGAATAGAAATTATTCTATTAAAAATACTCTCAAACTAATCTGTTTGTGACTGCAATTCGCACATTTCCCCTTTTATTGGTTCGTAAACAGCAATAAATACACTCGATTAAGTGCACTAATTCAAATATAACTCGTAGCCATTACGCCCCTGTGCTCTAGGCGACAGTAAAGCCGGCCAAATGGCATCCCTATCGAGTTAATCCCGATAATGTGGTTCTCCACTGCCCCCACTTACCTGTGATCGTGATGCCCAGTCCAGGACCGCGCTTGGCCAGCTTCACCGTGAATATGCCGCTAGAGGGGACGATCGTGTCCGCAACGTCGAACTCCACCTGTAAGGTTACCTTGCCCGTGGCGTTGGGTTCGTTCCCCAGCTCTAAGATGGAGTTGATCTCCTGGAGGGTCAAGTTCGGCTGGTGGTTGACGGAGATGAGCCGGTCGCCGACTTGGAGGCAGCCGCACCTGGAAGGAGAGAGTTGTTTAAAACGACGATTTTCAAAAATTTTATAAAGTACATTAATTTACATTTTTCTGTAATCGTTCTGGGCGCTATTTCAGACTCCAAAATACTATATTCTAGTTTCTTATTTCGTTGCTACTCACATTAAAAATTCATTATTTAGGAAATATTTAGAACATTTTGATTGTTTATGGGTTATAATGGTTATAATGCTATTGATTATAGGATCTTAAAGGGAACTATGACGAAGATATTTTATTACATGAATCGTTCAAATGGTCATTTTAGATGAAAAAACCTCGGAGATAGGGGTGAAAATGCACCCCTTTCAGTTTTTTAATTGTAGCTCGAAAACGAAGCAAAATTTCGGTATAGTTCATAGAAAAAATTTTGTACAGAATTGAATTTCCCATCGAATTACAAAATTTAAAAGAAAAATTTTATGCAAAAAATCGTTACTTAAACAATTTTAAAAAAGTAAAAAATATGATTTTTTAATTTTCTTTACTTTTTTCACTCTAATTTATGGTAAAACGACAAAAATCTAAAAAATATTTAAGTTTGATCGGTTATAACTCAGTCAATATTAGTACAAAAACTTTTGAAAAGAAATCTCATTTAGTTTTTCTGTATAGTAATTTTCTTTGCCTACTTCCACTAAAAAAAAATAGTCAAAAAGTAAAAAAAATCAAAAAATCTTATTTTGTACTTTTTTTGAAAATTGTTTATTAGCGATTTTTTGCATAAAATTTTTCTTTAAAATTTTTTAAATTATTTTGTAAAACATTTTTAAAATAAGTAAATATTTATAAAAATTGATGAAACTTTGTGAACAAATAGTAAAACATACAGGTATGTCAATTGTACTCTAACAATTTTGCAACGATCAATCCCGTGTTTTCGATCGACAGGATTGTTAATTAAGAAAATTTCAAAAAGTTTATTGCGTACCGTGGGTTTAAATTAAGGTTTAGAAGGGGCACACAATTTTTTAGAGATACTTTTGTAATCATAAACAATCATCAATACTAAATATACCTATTTTTGCACTTTTATAACCATTTGGAATTTTTTTTTTAATTTTTCAATATTTTACTCTATAACAATTATTTATTGCCCAGATAATTTTCACTCATTGATTATTATGACAATAGGTATCTATAAAAAAATTGTGTGCCCTTTCTAAACCTTAATTTAAACCCACGGTACGCTATAAACTCTTTGAAATTTTCTTAATTAACAATCCTGTCAATCGAAAACCACGCGATCGATCGTTGCATAATTTTGCAAATGCATTTTGATTCGCAGTTGTTTATAGAAAATCGTCAAATAAACAAAACATATAGAATGACTTTTCTGGATTTAGGGCTTAGGTAATTTCAAAGTTACAGAAAAAAATATGTTGAAAAACGAGTCATTTTTCGTTCTTTTTGTATGTTTGTTGTTCCCCTGAATTTAGCAAAGGTTTTTTGGAATATGCAAACTCGGATTCTTATTCTACATAATATTTGAAATTTTTCTGTACAGCAAAATATATGACTTCAAATACAAACGCCTCGAATGCTCTATGGCTCTATCGCCTGGTCTATACGTTATCCTGCATCATACGATGTTTAGTCGTTCATGTCAGTGAAATCGGAAGTTTTAAAAAACGTATACCTGAAAATGTGCACTCTTAAACAGTTAGGTACTGAAAAAAAAAAAATATATATAAGCCAGTCGACAGTTTGGAAGATTCTTAAAAGTTGTTGTTTATACCAGTATCATATTGAGCATGTACAAGCAGTTTTATCTGATGAATAAAAATATCAAGATATAGTAACATCTCAGATTGCATTGTTTTATGCTTCTCCAACTATGAAATGAAGGAAAAACCGACTTTTAACCTACCCCTTTAAAGCGGTGTATTTCCGATAATCGTGTTTGGAAATAAGTTCGTACCGAAGATCTCCCTTACTTTTCGATAAAGAATTATTTATCACACTTACATCTTAACTAACCAATAGTATTTCAAAATAAAATTTGTTTCAAATAACAATAAATTTAATCCTTTTTTAAGGATTTCACTAAATTTCCTTGACACGTTGAAACTGGCTTTTTACGAAGCTCCCCCCTTTGTTTACATATTTACATTCACTAAAAAATTACAAAGAAATGTGGGAATCCGAATATTGGAAGCATCCCTTGTGCAGAAGCGCATTAGTTGTCGATTAGGGGCTTTAAGGAATGGGGTGAAGTTCAAGGGGAGATACGTAAGGCTCCGTTTGTTTGTGTAAGGTCGGGTGAGTCAATAAGGGAGGTTATTGGGGTCAAAATGTGTAAATACAGGGGTTAAATATACCTATGAATAAATATTTATCGAAAGTCAACATATACAAACGGGAGAGGGTATCTCAGAAACTGCTATAATTTATGATTTCAAAATTATGCAAAATTTTAACTTTATTTTCATGTATTAGCAGTGGCCTGGCGCTATTTGACTTACAGATCAAAGAAGGCAGAAAAATCTAGGCACAAAGTATTGAAAAAAAAAAAAATCAAATATAATCGGGTAGTTTTATTTTAAGTACTATTGAAATATAGGAAAAATATGCGTAACACTATTTTTTTAATAGTGAAAGTCCTTCTGTTTTTGTCCGAAATAAATTTTTCAATTACTTATTCATTAAAATTTGGTATTTTTTGCACCACTGATTTTTCAATAGAGTGCTGTTAGTCTATCTTTACAATCTAATTTAAACTTTTACAATTTTTTTAGTAAAAACTACAAGAAACAATACGTAGGTAACAAAATTTTACATTTCACGTAATAGACCAGGGCAGATCTGTTTTGAGGTGGATGTGAGAGGGGGAAAGCAAATTTTTTCTGGATCACCTTCAGTACATCTCACATAATAAAAGTGTAGATCGCTAGATCTGGGCGAGGTCTGGAACATTTTAAAGATTGCAAAAATGTTTAAAAAATAAAAGTTTTTTACTTATATCTTGGAACCTATACATTTTGGAAGAATATTGAAGAGGAAAAAAAGTTTTAGAATTGAATTATGCACAATATACTGAAAGTTAAAAATGTTTAATTTTATTACCAATGTTGCAAAATAGCAATAATTGATGAAAAAAGGCAAAATAATCAAGTTTCTTGGATAATTGTTTAAAAATATTTTAATTGCTCCGAGGGCATTCTAATTTTGGTAAAAAAAACTTTAGAGTATAATAAAACAACACACCAATTTATTAAAATCGGTTCTATAGTTTTCGCAAAATAATTTTTTTTTTATTTTGAAAAAAGTTTTCGAATTTTCAAAATATTGCACAGCCTCCAATAAAGCATCTAGATACTTGGAAAATTTTTCACATAGAAAACACCGCTCAACCTTTCAAATAGTTTTTGAAAAATTGAAATCGGTTGATTAGGACGACCATAGTAAATTTTAAAGCTGAGTTTTTTTTTATTTTTAAAAAATTAGATTACATTTATCAATTTGCAATTTAGTTTTTTTCAAAAATTATAATTCGAATTAAAAAACATAAATAAATTGTAAAAATTTACAATATTTTGAAAATCCCTTGTTATGAACTAAAAATGTTATATTCAAAATGTTATGGCTGTAATTGACTTTTCATAAGCAAAAAAAAAACAATGCCTTATATTTTTAACTAGTGGATTTTACATTGCTGATAATATTTTTCATTAAATTTTTGCTACATTTTTAGGTCATTAATAACTATACGGCAATTTTCATAAGAAATATAACATAAAGAATCAAAATTGCAATGCCGTACATATTCGTTGGAACCATAGACCACATAGACTGGCTTATAGAGCGACTTTGGTGAAAACACTTCGAAGCCTGATTTGGAGCCCAGCGCTCAGTCGTGTCTTAGCATTTCACTTGTACGCATCGCTGTGATTTCGATAATTAGACGTTTTATCATGGGCAAGTGTATTGTAAAACGTTGTATAAATAGAAGTGATCGAGTTGGTGAAGAGAGGCGAAAAGTTTCCTTCTTTAGGTAAGTAAAAAAAAAGGAATATATAAAAGGTAAATATGTACTCCATTTTTCGGTTGACCTCACAAGTTTCCAGGGTTAGCTTTATAATTTTGTTCGCCCACATGGTGTAGTTATTAACGTGATATTGTTATTATAAAATAATGAATGAATTACTGTAAAATATTTTTAGTAATTATTTACTTTATGCGAGTCAAATTTTTATGAAATTTTACCAATTCCCGTCATTTCGAGATAGGTAGCTGAAAATTAATTAAATATTTTTTTCAATTGATAAAATTACAAACAAAACTAATTTCAGATTCATGTTCAGCACCCTGGAAAAGGAGAGTTGGCAAAATGTGATTAGAAAAATCAGAGTTTTGTGACAAAAAAAAATAATTAGGTACGCTTCGATTTTTCAAACCTAATATTTAAATTTTTACAGATTTCCAAGGAATGTTGACATAAAACGAAGATGGGTGAAGGCTATTAAAAAACAGGACTGGACACTAGCAAGTACATTATAGTATATATTGGCGGTTTCGTAATAACAAGTCCTCTAAAATGTGAAGACTGTGTAAATAGTTTAATGTCAAATACACAGTATTCGTACAGTCAATTAATTTTTATTAAAGATCGTGGTTGTTTGACGTATCCATCTCGATATGTCGTAGTAATATGCCAAGAAACAGAAAAATTAATAAAATTTTTTAATGATGAAAGCAGAACACCTAGGCTACAGAAAAATAAAATTGTTTATAATGTATTAAAAAACTTTCTGAATGTGAACATATTTGAAAATTTGCATAAACATCAATTTGATAATTTGCCTAATTGTAATCATTTAATAGAACTTGTAAGAGCTGAATGTGAAAAGTATATCGATGTACGAATAAATCATGAAGTCAAATTATTTAATTCGGTAAAATCTACGAAAAGGCAAATATTAAATAAATTAATATTATTTAGAGGATAATAAATATATTTAAATTATTTTGTAGTTTTATTT